TGGGCAGTCGAGGAGCCCAGCCGCAGGGTCGGTCGGCAGGGCTGCGGGGGGGTGCTTGCCCTCCCGGCGCTGCGCCCTCCCTGCGTGCCGAGGCCCAGGCAAGGCCGGCGCCCGAGCCCCGAAACACGCCATGTGGGAAACCCGAGCTTTGCCTTTTCAGCTTGAGGAAGGCAACGAGCAGTCTTCGGGTCTGAAATTAATCTCTGGGAAGCTGTGGGAACAGATGGTGTTTCCGAGCGCTACATGCTAGCTTTTAGCTTTAGAAAGACAAATATTGAACGCTCCACAATAAACATGCTGTTGGAGAGGGGCTAGCGGAGATGCTCCTTCACTTCCCCTTCAAAACAAATTATGCTGGTCCTGATGCAGTTCTGGTGGAGTGTGTCGTCTGGCACCACAACACTGAGGGCATTGTGTTATCCTAGCATCTATTTTGCAGTACACACAACTGGAACAGATTTGAAAAGTACACAGTAGCAGATTGGCAGCGTCTCTTTGTATCTCACTGGTCAACACCGACTTGAGGAGACAACACAGTTTTAGTACCAGCATGAATCCTTGTAGCGGATCTGAAGGTTGGTGTGAAATACATCCTTCGGAGAGAAACAGCAGAAAGGATGGAAGTATCTTTGCCAAAATGACGAAACATCATCCTCAGCATAAGAACTTTACAGAATCTTACTTGTTTAAAAAAAAAGGGTTATCCAGGAATTAATATTCACCCCAGCAGGGTAACACTTCAGTATTAGCGCATCCATCTGATGCACTTGAGTTAGGGCCCAACTCACAAGACACCGTTGGTGTTTGCCATCAAGCCGCACATTCTGTGCAAAGGAACTTCAGAGTTCAAGATGTTTTCTCTATTTGGCCTCGGGGTTTCCTCTCTGTCCCACGGGGAGCCCGGCCTCCTCTGTCCCAGGTGCCCGGCAAGCTTTGGACTTGAGCCCTAGCACACCGACAGCCTACTTGCGTGTCGGGCTGTAAAGGGCGCATCTCCCTGTCTTTTACAGGCACTGATCTGTTTTCATCTTCCTACCGCTGATGTGGCGCAAAGCCTGGAAACAGCATATTTGTGTCGGCTAAAGCCCTTGGTGATTCTAAAGAGGTATTCATAAGAAAAGAGCAACATAATCTCTTGGGGAGGCTTTTGTGAGATATCTAATCCACCCCTGGCTCAGACAGATATGGTAAGCATTCAGCAGAGCTAGTTTACAACCGTTAAAAAAAAAAAAAATTAGTGCTGAAAGATTTCACGCTCCCCCAAGCGGTCTATTCTAGCTGTCTTCCAGACAGATCTTTTAAATGCTTAATCAACAGCTTCCCTGCTGCAGCTTATGCCCCATATTAATAGGCCTGTCCTAATCTCTATGGGATCATTCCTCCTTGTTGAAATCTCTCATATGGTTGAATATTCCCTACCCCCTTTCCCCCAGTCCTTCTTTCCATAGAAGAAAAAAAAACAACAAACCAGTTTTTCCTTATCCTTCTGTAAAATGTAACATTTTCTAGATATTTGTTTATCATGCTGCTGCCCTCTGGCCCTTTCAGGTGTCAACATCTTCCTTGAGTTAAAGTGCCCAGAGCTGAAGCACTGTATTCTGGCAGAGGCTTTCTCATGATCAGCACCCCAATCCCTCTGAACTACTCTCCCAGACTAATATAAAAACTGTACATAAAATACTAAGTGTTTAGAAACAAAACTTCAGCAAAAGCAAGTATTGAGTATTTGAACAGGCAATTTCACATGTACCAAAGTAATTCTCTTTTCAAAGTGTTAGTTAGGTTAAAAAAAGGCAGCTTGCCACATAAAATGCAGTAGCTGTTAAGTGTAGGCCAGCAAGAGACCTTCAGGAATACTGTGTTTCTCCTAGGAACCAGTTATAGCACAGTGCTCAAACAATAAATCAGTTCTACGATAATTTGGCAGACGTATCAGAGCAGCCAGTTTTATTGGGAGCAATTATATCTACAGAAACTGGTATTATTTTTAAGGTATTAGTAAAATTTTATCACCAAACAGCAAAACGTGGTGGCCGGGTAACGTATAAATCTCTTTTGGTTATTGCAACAGGGCGAGTGCTGTTCTTCCTAAGGCTCCGATTGCACAGGCAACAGTAACTCAGGCACCCCGAGGACATCTAGTTAGCTGCTGTGAAGTCCACTCCTGATGTAAGCATGGGGGGGGGGGGGGGGGGGGGGGGGGTGGGTCAGCTGCAGCAAGTCAATAAAGAGCACACACAGGATTGTACAGGAAGGCTGGACACAACATGTCAGTTTTTTATTAACCAAAAGTGAAGCTGAACCCCAGAGTGGTTCCATATGTTTATATGGCAAGTATTTTTCTTTTGTGTTCAACACTATAGTGCAAGAACCAAACTTCACAGCTGTTCATCCTTTGAGAATCCAGTACTAAATGTAAAATGCATTAAAAAATAAGGGTCCCTCAATGAATCAATTAAAAAAAAAACCATTTAACTCAAAAGAACAGACCAATTTTAAGAACTGTCTTATGAAATTCTCCCAAGTGAAAGACCTTTAAAAGCACTTGGAGCCTTGAGGTAGCAACTTTATGCAGAATTTAATTCCCCTCCTGCCCCACAGAGCAGAGGAAAATTAGTAGCGCATTATTAGCTCCAGCCAGCTAAGCGGAGTTGAGTGGTCTCCTATGAGGTTAGTGACTTTCTCTTGCATCTCGAAATAGCAATGTAGTGCCACAGACCGTCAGGAGGAAATCCACAAGGAAGGCCTCATGAAATAAAATATATGGTTTGAAAAAAGTGAAAATAATCAGCAATAACTATAACAACAAAAATTATCTGGAGTGAAAAAAAACCAGTGTTTGTATTTTGGCAAGACTAGTTTACAAATACATGTCAAGAACAAGAGTCCGCTTTCAGCCAACAGAAAAGAAAGAATGGAAGTGACATTCAAAGGGGTTTCGTTTTTTGCCCTCTGTGCAAAATTGCACTTTGTTTTTAAAGTTTTGAGTCTCACACTTTTGCCCTTTTTTGTTCTTTTACATTGTGAAACCTGTGCTGTGACATTAAACAGAAATACCATATGCCAGGATATTTGACCACTGAAAGCTCCTCTCACTGACTTCACAACAATCACAAGCAGGGAATCACAAACAAGAGACTTTTTTCCCCTCTAAGTCTCAAAGACACTACCCTCTTTGCCCACTTTGCTGCTGAGTTCTTTTATTAAAAACTAGATCTCTCTCTACTGCCAATTTCACAGACTCCACGGAAGATTTACTGAACACTGAGCAGTAACAACAAAAAACCTGGGCTCGTTCTGCACGACAATTGCGATGAACAGTCATAGTCAAAAGGAATGAGCTGAGACACAGTGATGCAGGCAGATCTTCACAAACAGGCGCCTCGCTTCACTCCCCGGTCTTGGTATCACCACTCACACGCTTTCCAACTTTGCTCACTGCTGGTGCTCTAACCAGATACCTGGCAACGTTGAGTATCTTACTACAAGCTTCTCTCACTATCTTCATGCTCCAAAATTGTACAGAACAGGTTGGTTAAACCAGACCAAACTAATCAGGCACATTGCAAATTATAGCTTTTAAATGGACGAGCCTTCTTACAGGCTCATTCTCTTTCAGCTCAAGGTCAGGTTGCCTCTTTACACCACAGAGCGATGTCACACGGATCCTGGATGCAGGATGGCATTGCCCAGTATGCCTTTGCTTCGGGGAGTCTAGAGAAAGGTAAAACTTCAAAACTTCTTGCTTGCATGGGATCCCAATCTTTTGACTTTACATTCTCATCCTTTCCTATGACTTCCAGAAGCCATCAAATCTTCCCTTCCAGGCAGAATTACCTTAAGAATCTAACATCAGCCTTGCCTGGTTTTTTGGTTAAGCTTCAGAACAATTGCCAGTGTTTGCATATGCTGAGGTATACAATCCTGTCCTGCAGAGAAACAAAGGCTGTACGAACCAGAATCCATCTGTAAGGCAGCCCAACCTGCCAGGCTCCTCTGGATAAAGGAGAGGATATTCTGCCTGGGGGCAACAAAGGCCAGCTGACGATTATTCACAGCAAGCTTCTCTTTAGCTCACATAACAGTTTAGGCAGCACGGAAACTCATACTGTTTTGGAGACCAGTTTATGTCTGGTTCGCAGGACAGTCACGAGCTGGCTTCAAAAAGGCTCTTGTCTTGGAGCCCCAAGTATCTTAAAGTTTTATCTGTTATCAGTGCAAGGTCCTGATGAGTGTGGTTTTTAATTTTTTCTTGGTTTTTGTTTGTTGATTTGTTTTGTTTGGGTTTTTTGTTGTGGTGGGGTTTGGTTTTGTTTTTTTTAATTCTGTAATCAAAAGAATGATTTTGTCTTTGGTGTTAAACCTTGGAAGCATGAATGAAGTACCTGCTGCTTCTTTGGCTGTAATTTACAACAAAAAAACAGCCCAGTAAAGCAAGGGAAATTCACTGTTCTAAAATACATGCAGTTAGAACAGCCACTAGACATCACAACCGGGACTTTAATAATATGGAAACACCTAGTTCAGTGCTGTCCATTACAAATCATTTGCATTATATAAAAATATGACTCCAATTACAGTAACTGGACAACAGCCATTCAAACTTAAAGTTTCCATCTTACTCATATTGCAGGAACTGGGAGGAGCTCATCCATTTAGGGAAAAAATTCTCCAGAAATCAACTTAGAGTTGCAGCTAAGCATCTCGTGCCTTAGAGAAAGGTCCACTGTGATAACTAGAAGCAGGAAGTCAACATTAGCATCCTTCTATTCTTGCTCACGTGGCCATGAATAAAAAGAGCAGGTTCTGTTACACTAGCATCCGCAATTAAAATTTTATAACCCCATAAAACACCAGTAAGTTTTGCATGAGCTGCAGAAGAATGCAAATTCAAAGGGTCACTAGATTTACTACCTACAAATTCAATGTCTTAATATAAATATTCTGTTTGTACACCATAAAAACGTCCTTCTTATGGTCTGATTCTTATTTAGATAATACTCTGATAAAATCTCAGCAGTATGCCAATTAAGGTCATTAAAGCTATAGAAATAGAATCTACCTAATAAATGTTGCAAATTTAACAGGTTTTTTAAATAAACATCATTAGCTTAGTTACCACCTAAACCAAAAAGACTCCTCAAACACACCAACTGCGTAGTTAGCAAAGACATTTGCTTTACAAAGTCAAACGTTGCCAACTTTTGAAAGTTTAGCAAATCAACGTGGTATTTGGAAGCATCCAAGTATCTAATGAAGTTAGAATACTGTGAAATGTTAGGACTGGGGGGAGCTCCTGTAAACAAGTACAGAAGTAGTCTTCATTTAAATTACAAAAAGTTCACCTCCTTAAAAAGTTTTAAAACTGACCCAGTCAACAACAGTGCCCTGGGAAATCTAGCAGTATAAAGGATCTCTGTAAGCAAGAGAAGGTCATATATTGTGATCTCACCACAATAAAATGTACTCAGTGTCAGGAACAAGGAGCAAATTTGGGGAGATGACAATTATGACACCTTCAGGCCATTTGATCTGAACCACTGCACTTTTTTGGGCAGCATAGAGTAAAACAATTTTCTTTGCTGCTCAGAAACACTTAAAATATAGTAATGATTCATTTTCTGCATTTCGTTGCTAAGCAGACTCTCCCATGTCCCCAGCTCGGTTTACTTGGTTTAAAGAGCTGTAGTACCTGCTGCTTTCAGCAGGTGGACGAAAACTTCAGTGCCACCTTATTAATTGGCTCCATTGATATTTTAACTTCAAACCCAGATGCTACAATCAAAAGCAAATTTGACATTGTGTAAGGAAAGCATCAGATGAAGGTAATAAGCCTGTAAAAGGCTCGTAATCCACAGGTTGCCTCTGCAGAACAGGCAACCTCCCACTCCAGAAACTGATCTGAAGATTCATCCCACCAGTAACACCAGAAGGAAGGAGGCTTCTGTATCTTGCACACTTTGGGTTTCGTATCAGGCACTTGAGCTGTTGGA